TTAAAACAAATTATTTTTTAATTATCATTGATTTACTATATATTATATAATATGGTATGGTATTTCTAAGAGACAAGTGTACATTAAACATCCAGACATCTTTTCTTCTGCGACCAAGCTGAAACGTTTCCCACTTCCGATTAACACCATGCGTTCTACTTACGCGATGACTAAACTTTTTCAAGGGACTATTTCGAGGAAATTTCTTTTGATTGCAGTTAGACTTTTAGAGTTGCCTATGGGGGACCCCAAAGGGAGGCCATGTATCTTGGTCTTTGCATACAGTCAGTCATGACTTCTTTCAAGGGACAAAAACCTGTTACCAAGTCATTTCTGCAAACCAACCACACCTTTATCGTGTGTTTGGGGTTGCTTATATGTTAACCTTTGGTTAATATAAGTTTGGTAACAGAAAATAATTATTTTTTATCAAATAACCATAGATTCATTAATAAATAAATATAATATACATCACGCAAATCTATGATAATAAGCTTCATATGGACAAAGAAATATAAAAGCCACAAGTGCGCCAATGGAAAATGAGTGTTCAATTGGCGTATGGAAAATGATTAATATATTTTCGATTCAACACATTTTTTAATATTTACCTAGTTCAATTTTTAAACTATAATATAAATATAACCGTTTTAACTAATTTTTGCATTTTGTATGCATAATTATATTAAATAATATTAAAAATTTATTTACCTTTAACTAATTTTTGCATCTTGTATGTGTAATTAGGGTTTCTCCCATGCACTGCTTCTAAGGTTGAGAGCAGTGGTGGTGGGTTTTCCTCCCTGAGGTATCTCTTTGACAGAGAAGTTCCTTCATCCCTCCTTTCTTCTTACCCCTTCCTTCCTCCTCTTGATCTCCTCCTTCATCTTGTCGCTGTCTTGCTTTGGAAACTCCAACCCAAGGGACCACAAGGCAGTAACTTTTTAGGTTTTTTAGGGTTTATATCTATTGATTTTCGAAAGGTGCGATTGGAATTGATCTTGCCGGTGCAGTGGGTTTCTCCTATTTAACAGGCAAGAATCTCACTTTTGTGCATCTCCTAGAATGGGATCTTGGCAGGGGTCGAATTTGACGAATCTGTTAATTCACACCAGTTCCCGATCAGCTAGCCAATTGCCGAAAGAAAAGGATGCTGTTGGTAAGGCTAGCTATGGTCGGCATGGGAAGGCTGATTTTCAAGCCAACAAAGGGGCTCTAGTTCCCTTAATGAGTTTCAATAGCATGGGTTTGAAGAGGATCGGCAAAGATGGGAACATGATTGGGAGTATACGGAGGCGACTGGGGGGCCTTGTGCTTGTCAAGAGAAGGCCTATACCCCTCTTAGTTGTTCTTATTTAAGAACAAGTAGGGCGGCAACTTGTCGGTTGGGAACTGTTTGTTGCCGGAATCCCTTGCTCTTCCCAAGAAGCTGGTTAAATAGGCAAGGATGTCCAATAGTTCTTAATGCTCGCAGTAACTCCCCTTTCTATATTAGTAACCCTATTTAGCCCATATAGTGATTGTAAATTCAATCTCTAGCTGCAGATAACTCTCTTTACTCAATTGTCTATATCCGTCATGGGCATAATTTAAGTCTATTATTAGTGCTGTAGATTATGCTTCTGATTTGTCTTTAGGTTATTCTGATTTTGGCTATATGTCATAAGATGAAGATTTTGCTGTAATTTCTTAGTACTTAATATATTTTTCTATTTTTCATAAAAAAAAAAATAATAACTTTTAATAAGTATATTGTGTAATATATTGAATCAAAGAGTGAATTGATTAGTGTCTATCTTCGTATTTAGGATTAGGAAATGAGAAAAATTACAGCATTAATTTAACTTGTGTCATTTTGTTGTCCGGGAAATATGAAGCAAATAATACTACCGCAGTTCTTCAGCCACCAATTTTCTGGCCACCATCAAATATGGTGTAACTAAACCTTCAAGTCTGAATTTCCGGAGAAAAAAGAAAAGAAACTTCCAAATTTGAATAGTTTTTTTTTTTTTTTT